GCCCCCGCCGCGATGGCCCGCGCTCCGGGCGCCAACGCCGCAGTGCGATCCCGGCCGGCGGCGGAGAAGGTCGGCAAGGCCACGGGCGCAAAGCGGAGGAAGTTTCCGGCTTCAAGGAAGCCATCTTCTTCAACCTCTCACGCCCCCCCCCCCCGCAAGGAGGTGCTCCGGCGATGCCGTTCAACGGTTCCGCTCCCATCGCGAGCGAGGTGTTCGACAAAATGGCCGGAAGGTATATCTCTTCGGTCTTTGGCTATTCTCTTTCATTTTTCGCCATTGTTCTCGATAGCTCGTGACTTGTTATCGTTCGCTATAGTGGTGGTTCGGACAATGCAACAACCGAATTCGTGAATTTCTTGGACACGAACGCAGTTGACATTGATCAAGCCCCTTTCGAACCATTCGACTACAATGAAACGGAGGGCGGCGTGAACGATCATGGTTGTGCGGACAAGTTGGAGGAGATCGAAGCGGAAGTGTTTGAGCATTCACAAGCAAAAACTGGGAAAAGCCAAAGATCGAAGAACTATACGATCTTGGAAGATCAAGTTTTGATCAAAGCATGTAGTGCGGTGTCTCTTGATGCATGCACGGGTACTAATCAAACCTCCAAGAGATATTGGCAAAGGATTGAAGATCAATACTTCTGCATTATGGAAAAATACCCCAATAAAACTCCACGCACATTTCGGTCGCTTCAAGGTTGTTGGGAGAACATCAAGCCTATGTGCAGCCGTTGGGCAGCTTGCTTGGAGCAAGTATGCAATGCACCTTCAAGTGGCACCGTGGAGTCCGACTATGTGAGTTTGCTTTGCCTTTGTTCAAGTTATGCATCATCATAATATATCATGAGAAATGATCGCATCACTTTGTTCACATTGTGTAGGACAAGATTGCTCAACATAGATACAAGGACATGGAAGCTTCGGAAGGCAGATTCTTCAAATTAGAGCATTGTTGGGAGTTGCTCCAAAAGTGCGACAAGTGAAAGTTGATCGACAAAGAATCCCCATCAAAGAGAGGCTCACTTACAAACATGGATGAAGATGAGGATGATGATGGTCCAAGAAATTTGAACAAGCCCGATGGCGACAAGAAGACTAGAGAGAAGATAAAGAGATAGCAAGAAGCATCGAGCTTGAGGAAGAAGATTGATGCCATGGTGCAATTAAACGAGTTGATGTTGTTGAAGTCGTTGGAGATCAAGAAAGAGTTGGTCGATAAAAAGGCAAAAGAGAAGCATGAAAAATGGCAAATGCTTAAGGAAGAGGGGCTGCGCAAAGCTGCCATTGAGGAGAGAAAAGCACGCGCCTCTGAAAACAAATCGCTGTCATTGTTGCTCGCCGAAGAGAACAAGATCATGTCAATGAACCGCAATGACATGGACGACGTCACCTAAACATGGCATGATATGGTAAGGAGAGAGATCTTGAAGAGGAGAATGGTCGCCTCGCCGGTCCGTCTGCCAGTTCCGGTGATGTTTTCTCTGCTCCATATGGTGACAATGTGGATGATTTCGATGCGGAAGTTGAAACAAGCGACGGAGGTGGCTACGGTGGCGTTGATGAACTTCAAGATGGACTCCATGGCGCGGAGTGAAGATCGACCCCCAAGATGATGCCGGACATGGGCGCATACCTTTGCATGCCCTTTTTTGCGTAATGAACTTCGCTTTTATTTGCGCGCAAACTGTTTATGTCATTTGAATTTGAACTTGTTTGTGAAACCCTATGACAAATTTCAGATTTGCAGTTTTTTGTTTACAGGTCGTTGCGCTGTTGCCCGAGCAAAACCCGCATAGCCGACCCATAAAAAAGCATATTCCACGAATATTTTTTTTTACAGATCCGTTTATGGAGTCTGCATCTGTGCTAGCCCGCGCCAGTCCGCAAAAATGATTTTGCGTAAACTGCAAACGCGTTTTGATGACCGGCGTTTTATGGGGTCTGATAGAGTTGTGCTAATCAAACGAATGGGAGGCATCCTCCAACATGAAGAGGGCCTCCCGCTACCTTTGGACGTCACGTGAGTTTCTTGGTGGTTGTGAAGCGGCTGTGCTCGTGAGTTTCTTCCATCTTGGCTAGTTGATCCTGCTATGGTTTTTGTTTCTATTGTAGTATCGTATTGTAAATTTTTGTTGGTAGCTTAGCAAGCAGGCCGCTCGGTATTGTAGTACGTCCTGACGGTAATGCAGGTATTTGTTGTGCATGGGCTTGCGCATTGGTATTTTTCGCCAGCGCCACTTGGTCCAAGCCCACCAAAAATAGCATGTACGCGTGTAGTTGTAGTCCGGCACAGCGGAGTGTACCTTTCCATCTAGTCCGTGTAATATCCTGCTTTTGTTCGCTTTGTTTTGCCCTGGGACATGTTCACTTTTTCAACTACTTCTTATTAATAATTGCAACAAATTATTTGCCTTTTCTTTCAAAATAAAAGTAAACATCTTCGCCGTCACGCCACAGTGTTGTGCACACGTGGTAAATAATTTTTTTTCTGCCCAAGTTGTATTATGGTCATGAAGGTATCTCCAATTGTTGTAAGATGATTGTTGGTAAATTTGTGACATATGACTTTTTGATGATGTGACATGTAATAAATGAGGAGAGATAGCAAAGTTGTATGTATATGAACTAACAAACATTGCACAAGCTTCAAGTGGCGAAAATGACTATTTCATTGCTGAGTGTGTGGCAGTTTTATGCGATACGTGTGGCAAACCAGCCCATGACTCGGGGGCTTGTCCGCTTTTGAGGGATCAGGCACCGACTTTTATGATGTATGGAGTGTATTGTGCTGAGCTCACGTTTTTTGAGTCTCCGGCCGAGAGGGAGGTTCCTGATGAGGCTCAGAGTGTGACCACTGGGGTTGTCAAAGTGACCAGAGGAGAAGTCTCTGAGACCCAGATTGTGCAGCGGCTCCGGGAGCTTGCTCCAGGGGACTTCCACTGGGAGCTTGTCAGTCTTGAGGCAAATTTGTTTCGGGTTGAGTTCCCGTCAGTGGAGGATTTGTAGAGGCTGCTAAGTTTTGAGATGTGCAAAGTGCTAGGCACTGAGGGCATCCTTGAGTTCTAAGAGTGGAAGTTGGTGGAGCCTCAGGGTAAACCTCTTACCCAGGCATGGTTACGTTTTTCGGGAGCTCCTTCGAAGCCTATGCAGGATGCTAGGGTCATTGCTAGCTTGGGCATCATGGTGGGAAAGCCTGAGCGAGTGGATATGGCCTTTACTAGAGCTCATGGGGTTGCTCGTTTACTGGTTAGTATTTTGGACATTGAGTTTGTGCCTGATATGGTCAAGTGGGCATATCGAGGTCAGATCTACAACCTTGAGATTGAGTTTGAGGATGAGAGACTGTTTGCTGAGGCAGCTACCGTGACTGAAGTTGATATGCACGAGGGTGATGACGGTGCGGGAATTAAGGAGAATCCGGTCGCTGATCCTGGACGGGAGATGTCCGAGGGACCGGGGTCTGTTGCTCAAACGACCGGGGATGGGACGGCTCCACCTTCCTCGGTGCCTTCGACCACTCTGAGATTTGGGTCTATCGAGCCTGCTACTGCACCTCCGAGACTGTGGAGTGAGCGGGTGGAGTCTTCTGAGGCTTTTGAGCACTCTTTACCAGCGTTGGACTTTGAGGGTCCGGGCATGGAGGGTTCGTGCGCGGAGGGGGGTCCAGAGCTGGTGTTCTCGCCTCCTGTCGGTGTCAAAACCGGCGGATCTCGGGTAGGGGGTCCCGAACTATGCGTCTAGGCCGGATGGTAACAGGAGGCAGGGGACACAATGTTTTACCCAGGTTCGGGCCCTCTTGATGGAGGTAAAACCCTATGTCCTGCTTGATTAATATTGATGATATGGGTAGTACAAGAGTAGATCTACCATGAGATCGGAGAGGCTAAACCCTAGAAGCTAGCCTATGGTATGATTGTATCTTCGTCCTATGGACTAAAACCCTCCGGTTTATATAGACACCGGAGAGGGCTAGGGTTACACAGAGTCGGTTACAATGGGAGGAGATCTAATATTCGTATTGCCAAGCTTGCCTTCCACGCCAAGGAAAGTCCCATCCGGGCACGGGACGAAGTCTTCAATCTTGTATCTTCATAGTCCAAGAGTCCGGCCAAAGGTTTCCGGCTATCGGGACACCCCCTAATCCAGGACTCCCTCAGTAGCCCCTGAACCAGGCTTCAATGACGACGAGTCCGGCGTGCAGATTGTCTTTGGCATTGCAAGGCGGGTTCCTCCTCCGAATACTTCATAGAAGATTTTGAACACAAGGATAGTGTCCGGCTCTGCAAAATAAGTTCCACATACTGTCGTAGAGAGAATAACATTTACACAGATCTTAATCTGCTGACACGTTTTGGCAACATGACATTATGCCATGGTCCGGTGCTTATTCGAACCGTTTTTCTTCAACCAGCTCCACACATAACACGAGACAGTTTCTCGACACGTCTTGTCAAAGCAGAGATCATGTTCCCCCAATTACCGGATTCTCATTAATACGGTCATGGGTAACCCAACC